CCCCCCCCCCCCCCCCCCCCCCCCCCCCCCCCGGGGGGGGGGGGGGTCAGGATGATTTACCCTAAGCTGGGCCCTCCTATAGCCCCTTTTTACACTCCCCACTCAGCTGGGTGGGAAGGAGCTGGCCCCCTTCCCCTCTGTATTTCCAAAACAAGGGGAAGCGAGAAGGAGGCAGAGCTGCAATAAAACAAATCGAGGCGATTTGAGCTCCATTAAGGTCACATTAGCGAGTGGCTCGGGGAGATAAGGGCTGATAAGGCGGCGGGGCGCAGACCACCTCGATCCTGCTGGTGGTGAAGGGAGGGGGATGCTGTGTGAGCCTCAACCGCTGCCGAATTCCCATGCACAGCCCCAGTGCCTCCCAGTCCATTCCAGTGCTGCCCCGACGGGACTGGGCTGGCAGCCCAGCCATGGGTCCAACACGAGCAGCCCCAGTGTGGGGAGCGAGGCCAAACCCTGCCCCGTGTGGCAACGGGGTGATGCTGGGCCTTATCTGGGCGTCCGACTCTTTCAATTAAAATTCCTGGGGCTGGTGTTTGCTGATAGCCCTGACAGAGAGGGTGGCTGGGCTGGGCCGGTATCTCCCACACCCAAACCCGACTGTTTGGAGGGGCTGGACAAAGAGCAGTCCCAGTGCAGGGCTGGAATAGGAGGGAAAATAAATGCGGTGGGCTGGGGAGAGAGAGGTGCTGCAGGTTCGTCCTCAGCCCTGTGTAACACAGGGGTTTGTTCCATCCCTCATTCAGAGCTTGGCATGCATCCATCACTGTGGGACAGCCCCACCACTGCTCTATTTCTCAGTGCAATGGAAAGGCTTGGACTGGAACTATTGGGCTTGCCTTCTTGTGAGGATTTGATAGTGATAAACACCGGGAAATACCTGGAAATGCTTCTCCCTCCTTTTTGTTTCCCTGCATCCCAAATGTTGCAGTCCATTCCAGAGAATCACAGAATCATTAAGGTTAGAAAGACCACTAAGATCATCCAGTCTAACCATCGACCCATGCCTACAAGCACTCTAAATCATTTAAACCAACTGAACCTCCTCTGGCTGGGGGCATCCCTGGATTGTCCTACTCATGGTACCCCATGGCCAAGTTTGCTGCTGCCCCATCCCCTTTAACCCAAGGAACCTCAGCCCCGCTGCGCTCATTGCCACGTCGAAATGGGACCCAAAGAACACCACCAGGCAGAGCAAACAGGCAGTAACATTACACCTTGCCTTGTTGATGGCAGGAGGCAGCCGGCGCCAAGGTAAAATGCTTGGCTGAGAGCGAGACGAGCAGGAAGGAATTGGGGTGAGAGCCTTTATCCGCCCCCAGCGAAGGCACCCAGCAGAGATTGATGGCACTTGGCTGGATGTGCTCTCAGGGCTGCTGGCCTGGGGGAGAAGAAAGGAAAACAGCAGGGTCCCTGTTCCTCATCCCATTCCATGCTGAATTTTATTGCATCCACTCAGGGATATTGATATTGCCTGTTGCTTTAACTAGATTAAGTGAAAGCAGGAAGAGGATCCTCCTGGCTCATCTGAACCGGGTTCCTGTGGAGGTTGCTCATGTGGTTTCTGCTTTCTGGTGTTATCATCGGGCTCATCGAGGTGCTGTTGTGCTGCCGGAGCGTCTGAGGCTCTGGAATGAGGCAGGAGGGTCTGCGCTTAGAGCAACGTGGGGATGAAACTGCAGAAGGCTTTCAGTGGGCTGAAACCACAGCTGGGCAGCGCCGGGTGGTGAAATGTGGGCAGGAGGGGTGCAGGGCTGAATGCCCTCTATTTATCTCTCCCCAACCCCCAATTTTAGCCAAGTTGCTGAGCCAAACCAGAGCTTCTCTGCTGCTCCACGGTGCCATCACTCAGCGGCTGCGGGGCTGCTTCTCATCACCACCCTTTATCTATTCCTTCCGGATTTTGGGGGGGGGGAGGGGGAAGGAGGGGGGGAACCTGTTGAAATCAGCGCGATTACGCAGACGGATGAGATCCCAGAGCCGAGGAGCGGCGTTGCCCGAACTTTTGGGCAGCAGTGCCCTCTGCTTGGCCGCTGGAGAGATGCAGCTCCAGCCCTGCGAGAGCTCGACGCTGAGCAGCGAAGGGAGAAGGGACCAAAAATCCCCCCCCCCCCCCTCCCCTCCCCCCCCCACCTCCGGTGCTCCTTTCCCCATAAGAAATGAGGCTGTGGGGTTTGGGAATCACTGAGCACTGCACAAGCACTGCTTGCTGATGGAGAGCAGCGAGTTCTATTTAAATGGGAGGTTTTGGTGTTAGCATGAATAATTCGGTGTGCTGCTGGATGGGAAGAGTTCAAATTCCCCTCTCTAAAAATGATATTTTCAATGCTTGGGAGATGAGCAGAGAGCAGAGCTTTCTCATCTTTGCTTTTGCTGTGATTAAACCCCGTTCCCGAGGACGCTTGCAGTGCAATGCAATGCAGTGCAAGGAGGGAAGGAGGGATGGGAGCTGCAGGAGGCAGTGCTGGGTGCGAGCGCTGCTGCTTGTTGCAGGCGGCCTTCAGTCGGCAGATGGCACAAGAGCTGTGGTGAAGCGAGTGAGGCAGCTGGGGGAGAGCCTGATGCAAAGGGGGGAAAAAATGGGGGAAAAAGGGGTAAAAAAAATGGGACAAATAGGGAAAATGGGAAAAAGAAAGGGAAGAAATGGGGAAAAATAGGGAAAATGGGGAAACGATAGGAAAAAATGGGAGGAGATGGGGGGAAATGGGAGAAGATGAGGAAAGTGGGAAAAAATGAGGAAAAATGGGGAAAAATGAGGGAAATGGGGAGAAAAAGGGAGGAAAGGGGGAAACAATGGGAGGATATGGGAGAAGATGGGGAAAGTTGGAAAAATTGGGGAAAAAATGTGCGTGTCCCCACAGCTTGCTGGAATTCAGCTGGGATGCTGGGATGATCTCCATCCATGACTTATCCATGATACAAAGCCTTTCAATTGTATCTCCTTGAGAACAAAACCTCTGCATCCTCACTTATGAACCTGTGGTACAGATTTACCCCAGTTGTCCCCTTGCGCTCCCATTGCTCCCAGTGCTGTGGTTGGCAAACACTGAGTGTTGCACAAGTGTTTGTCACTGGGGTTTGCTCTCTGCATTGGGACAACGAGGGGTTCATCACATGTGTTTGGTTTGCAGGACGTTTTGTTTTATTTTTTCTTCTTTTGGTAACCGGAGATATTTATTTAAATCCAGAAGAGAGCATTTGGGTGCTGAGCCAAAAAGCAGCTGAGCGAAGGAGAATTGCTTAATTCTCTCTCTGATGTCATCCACGGAGCCTCCAGGAATGACAGCATTGAAGTGAAACTCTGCTTCGTGTAACTCACAGGGCAGGGGGAAATGCATCATGCATTATCAGCTACTACATGTCAGAGATTTCCTCTCTGTCGCCCTACCCACCCTTAAAGCACACAAAGTGGCTGTGAGCAACTTCCTCCGGCGCTGGGAATGGGTGAATCCCTGCAAAGCAGCTGTGCGGTGCTCTCTCCCTCCTGGCATCTTCTTTGTGATCCCTTTTTAATTGTTCTCATGGTGATTAACAGCTCCACCAGCAGCAGTGCCTCCTTCATCTCTGCAGCACAAAGGCTGCCAAAAGGAAGATTCTCCTTACGAGCACAAGCGTGTGGACTGTGCACGTTGGAAGCTCCTGCATCTGGAACCTCTGGAAGCAGAGGGCCAGGGATGCTGCAGGTCCTTTAGACTGATGCTTCCCACAGCAGTTTCACTGCGTTTAGTTTTGCTTTTCCCATTTTTGTGGCTTGGGGAAAGCAGTGGGGCCAGGTTACGGGATGGATCTTTCAATGTCCCACAGATTTCCCCATCACCCCCCCAAAAAAAGCCCACTGGGCAAACTTCTGAGGGCTCAGCTCACTTAAAAGACTTTTAAAAATATGACCAAAAGTTTCTTTACATTATTTAAAAGCCTCTTTAAAGAGCAGCTGCCTCCTATTAATACCTCTTGGGCCGATAATCTCTGCTCGGATCTATCTTTAGAGCTCTGCCAGCATTAATGGGGGCTGGAGGTGCAGCTGAACACACAGCAGAGGGAGGAGAAGCAAAGAAAACCATGGTTTTTGGGGTGGGTTTGGAGAAATCAGCCCCCTGCTTGCACAAGGAACCCCTGGGAGCAAAGGTGAGCTATGGTTGCCACAACTTCCTCCCCTTTCCCAGGGTGGGTTTTTGGCAGGGAGATGCACCGAGCCAACAGAGCAATGCTCAAATCCCAGGCTTCTGAGATCTCATCAGTAATTGCCTTAACACCAAATTTCAGCAGATCTGGAGGTCTGAAATGCTTTGCAAGCATAGAGCAGAGGCTGAGCCCATCACCCAACAACCATCCCCCACTGCCCAGCGCCCATCACCCGTCACCCTTTTTTCTTCCCTGCAGTTCCTTAAACGACACCCATCCTTGGCTTGGTTACCTTCATCCCAAGGGCAAATGTGGGGATTCAGGGAGCTCAGATCCCTGGGCTGGGATCTGCAGTGCAGGAGGTGGCCAGAAGCTGTCCCACATCTCCTAGCGCTGACTTGCACAGCTCATGGACATTCCTCTGTCCGATGGCTTCTCAGCATGGGAAGAGCTCATTACCGTGTTAAAACAGCATCCACAAACTGTACGACAAGCAGCCAAGCACATCCAGGGGTGCATGTTAATTTAGAAAACCGTGGCATTATTCATCCCTTCGTATCGTGCCCATCAGGGATGCTGGAAAAGCTCAGGCACGTCACGCCAGGTCCCAGCTTTGCCTCCAATACCTGCTGGAAATACAAGATACAAGAAAGATGTTTTTTTTCTCTCTAGATGGCAAACAATGCAATTTTCCAGCAATTTGAGAGCTATTTGCTATGCTCGTGGCAGATGAAACATTTCAATGGAAGACCTTAAAGATGAGCCAGGTGCC